TGTGTGCAACTAAGCTTAGGCATGTCGAAAATTCAATCACGCAGAAACCAGTTACAATTATAATCAAAACCTGGTGTGAAGAACAAGTATAAATGTTATATGTAATTAAGTCATAAAAGAGGCTTTTAGCCGTGAGCCTTTCACCACAGTCTATTTTTACTCCCTGTATCCATAAAGTATGATTTAAAGACCTTGTCACACTGTGGTTTGTTCAAGATCCAAAATGTAGACGCCTACATACTAACACTGTGTGCATGTCCGCACGCACGCACACACACATACACAGTGGGAAAGTAACACGCAGAGAGAAGGTAAGGGGTGAACAAATCCATTGCAAATACTCCTGTGTGTTTGCTGCGGTGGAAAAGGAGCGCTATATTTAGCCGTGAATTAAAGTCAAAAGCGAGTGGAGTCTTTCATACGGGTGACTAATCTTCAGCATGAGACAAGGATTATGAAATCAAAGAGAAATCCACCCAGGTGTCTCTAACAATAACTTGCATTCAAAACAAAATTTCTACTTTGACGCAATTTAAAGACAATGTTAGAAAAAAAGGAAAGAAAGTTCAGCTTAGGCTTCAATCCATCTTTTGTTACAATCTTTCAATACAAAATAATAAATATTATAAATATATAAATTATATCAAATCATATCTAAAAATGTATATCATTAAATTACAAATCTCTCCCTCTCACACACAAAAATTATTATTTTGATTATTTAGCAGTAATATGTACTATGCTTTTAAAAAAGTTAGAAAGGTAAGAAATATAATATAATAACAAATATATAAAATATATTCAAATATACATAAATATAATATTAACATAATAAAATTATATATACACATTATACACATCAAATATCTGTTGATTTATTTAGCAACATTTCTCATTCATTTCTACTATGCAATTTAAGAAAAAGATTATGAAAGTTCATGTTAAGCATCAAGTATCATTATATTTCAATATAATGAAAATATAATAAAATATATTTAAATAATATTTGAATATAACATTTCAATATCCTGGCTTTCTTGCAACAAGACTGCAGTACAGTCAGATTAACAAATCTTTCTTTTTTTTAATTCACTTTGCAGATTCTCTCTTTAAAACATCATAGTATAAGTCTGCAGATTCCATCTGGGCCTACTCACGAAGCTCAGCCAACTGAACTGAGAGAGGGAAAAGCATAGCAATAGCATAGTGATCATTTAGTCAGAGGGAGAGGGAGAAAGAGAGAATGCTCAGTCTCAGCCAGGCTTTCCTTCTCCATGTTATGCAGCACAGGCACGTTCCCATTGGCCTGCACCAGCAGGCGGGAAAGTATGAGAAAAAGGGAATTCCTGTGGCTTGGCATGAAGTGCTTAAGAGGCGTGGCATGTTCTCTGTTTACAGGGCCCACACTGAGAAAAAGCATCTCCAAGGAGCCACTGAACTCTGCTGTCTTGTTTTTACTCTCCTGTGTGTTTGGTTTCTAGTCTATCAGCGTTTCGAGTAGGAGGCCAAAGAAAGCATATGCTCACGGGATAACCCCGAAATCCCACTATGGGTGGATCTTGAAATTCTTCCCATATGAACCAGTCATACCTTAAGCTTGCAATGTTTTGTTGTGTGAAATGCTTTAAAGAGGTGTGCAAGGTGTGCAAAAACAACAATACTAATATTGCAATAAAACAATCAATAAAAAGATTTATGGTTAACATATAGAACATATAGGATGTGTTCTAAAACCAAAAAAAACAAATGTCAATATTTGCATGCTATTTATCCTTATACAGGGCTCTACACTTACTTTTCTTTTTAGGAGCACTCGTGCTCCTAACTTAAAAAACTCTTCTAACTTTATTAAAAGTATGTCATCTTTTGTCCTTAAAAATTAAAAATTATATTTTATAAGCTTTTTAAAAATTGTAATTAAAACTACAGAATAAGAACAAGTGAAATATGTTATATGTTACCAATCAAATGAAATCAGTATTAACAAAATTAATGTGTAGATGGGACACAAGAACACAAAAGTGGCTTGGTGTACTTTCAGACATTTAATGAGGCTCAGAGGTGGCATGAGTGCAATTAAATCCATAAATTCATGATGAGATTAATGTTTTAGATATAAAATTTTGAATATAGAAATATTAAATGATTTAAATAACTGAAAAGATACTTTAAAAGTGAAACTAAAACTGCCAGCAGGTGGCGGCAAGTCACTGATTTTATCACAGAATCATTCATTCAATTGATTCATTCGAACGGCTCATTCAGTCTTTATGAATGGGTAATCATGAACCACTGACTCACTAGATTAGTTTAAAAACCATGTTCATTCATAAATGAAACACCGCTGTGTTTGAATGGAGATGCGCTGTGTCTGTGTTTTAAACTAATTTCGACGACGAAATAGAGCAAAATCAGACAATAGTGTTATAGTCAGGCGTTCCAACCACAACCTCGCCCCTCCCCACCCCCCAACCATTCGAATTTCTGTAGGCGGGAATTATTTTTAATGCTATTCTAATGAGCCGCTTTGTGATATCACAAAGCCCGCAAACCAAATGCTGTAGTCCAAACGAGCCGTTCATTGTAGTTCTTGAAAAGGGACTTTTCTAGATCTTTTTAATGCCCAAACATACACACTGACTAAAATTTAAAAAAGTGAAAAAGCATAATAGGACCCCTTTAATATTAACTTCTTGTTTATTGTATTGTATTAAATCAGTATCACATTTACAAACTCCCTTAAAAATCATTAAAAGCTGTCATTCATCTTAGTTCATCGCAATCTCGCATTTATAATCAACGAAGCTCTCTACACTGCACAATGAATCTCTTATTTACACCCTGTCTACACTTTGCTTATGAAAGGATTCGTGAGATATGTCTGTGTTACATTACTCAACGCTGCAAACCCACGTAGACACCTTTGAAGCTCCCCTGAGCGCAATCACAAGTATGATGATGATCGGGTCAGTCGCACTGGTGCTCCTAAAAAAATTGTCATAGTCGCACGCAGTAGTTTTCAGTCGCAAATGCGACTGAAATGGTCGCATTGTAGAGCCCTGTTATATATATTATACTATCACTTCGTTATTAGAATACTGAGTCACTTATAAAGGTTCTATTTTAGTTAGGACAACTCACTATGTTTTGCAAAGAAATGTTCTAGCAATCACAACAATTCTATATACACTGTATAAATATTATATACAGCACCAATACTGTATTCTATCCAGATGAACAGATCACCAAACATACTATAATTCAATCCAAATGAATTCCACATTCCCCCTCAGTCCTCATCTTAAACACCATGCTTAATGCGAAATGAATTCCACATTCCCCCTCAGTCCTCATCTTAAACACCATGCTTAATGTGAAATACTATTGGTTTAATGCCTGAAGTAAATTAATAACTGATGCTTTTGGGCTTTGTAAAAGCACTCCAGAGAGAGCGAGCAGCCTGCACCAGGCCAAGAGTGGAGCGCTTAAGGTTAAAAAGCCTATTTAAATTTCAGAGTGTTTTGCTCCATTCCTTTTTACACACTTCTCCATGAAGTCATGCCACGGAGGGCGAGTTACGGTACAAGTCACTCCGGGTGCTCTGCCTAGAAGCATACAGCAGGTAATCAGACCTCCAAACATTGAACAAACTCACTGTTCTCTAGCAGAAAAGTACTGCAACCATTTAGCACCATAATACAAGCTTTTATAGATGCAGCACAATCTTTAATGTAACTTAACTTTCACGAGTATTTTAATGTATACAGACCGGTCCCATCCACTTTCATTGCAAGTAACCAAGATTTTTTACTTTTTTAAGGAAAAGGAGAGACAAATGGGAATTAATATAGTTGTTTCTGCATATTAAGGTGGTATAAGAGGAAGCATTTTAACAAACTCACACACTTCAGCTTTAACTGAACAACAGAACCATTGAGGCAAACCATATCCAAAGATGAAGAATACTGTATTCGTGCACGGCTTAATATCTTGTGTAAGCGCAAACCTGACATTTTGGACTCGACAGACATATAGAATAAGGTATTAGCGATTCACAATACACCGCATATGCGGCCCAATATAGATGAGACTCGACGTCAGTTTTCTCAGCGTCCGTGTAAACAAAAGCATCACACGTCAGTCCTGTTATGAAGTGCACGCATATAGCCATGGCAGGAAAAAATAAATGTAAACTGGGTATGTAGGCCGCTGGTGTCAGCTGTGATAGATGACACACAGCCAGGACTGAACACTACCTTGTTAGTCACAGTGTTGATTGCCAGCGTTGGAGAGGCACTTCCAGAGATGATGCAGTCCATTCCCAAGTTATCCGACTCCAGGCTGTACGGCGTGGACGCCTGCAGGAAAACAAGACATACTCAGCCAACCAGGATGGAGATGATGAGGGATGTGAAGTGACTTTGATTTCTATTCAAAGGCGTTTGGTATTACTCTGGTGCAAGAAATTTAAAAGCATATGCAGTGAGCGTTTATCAACAACAAAAGAGCAACACCTTTTATTTAGGTCAAAATTGGAGGCATTCTGGGAAAGAGATGAGCAGGAGAGGAACGGCTCCCTGTGCTCTGTCTGCTCTTGCTGGGGTAAAAGATAACTTCAGCACGCCTGTCTCCCAAAACTACTTATTATAAGAGGATTGCCTGGCAACAATGCGATTTTTAATTTATGATAAACATAAATGAGATTTCGCTAAGTCACAATTTTTAATGTCAAAGAATTTCTTAAACGAGACAGCAGGAGGATGAGAGAGAAACCGAGAGAGAGAGAGCGAGCGAGTGTCTAATGAAATATACTCCTAATAGTGAGCATCACACTTTGCACAGACAGAATTCCCACTTATTTTTGCATGCAGGATCAGGCTGAGAGAGAATGGATCTAATTGGAGGTTTTTGATGTGAGTGAAGTGAGTGTCAGTATGAAAAATGTTTGTGTGTGGCCTGAGGGCAGAGCTGTGTGCTGAGAGAATGATACTCTCACTGGAGTCTAGAGTGTGGCAATTATAAATGACACCGACCTAACTGCCTGACCATACAGAGGAAAAAACTCGCCACCAACTCAACACACATGAATCAATTAGGCTATCAGGCTTATCACATGTGATTTCTGACATATACACTGACATATTTTGTCTAACCAATTTACATTCTCTTAAAGGGACAGTGCACTAAGGGTGTGCGATATGCATGGTCTCTGATAATATCATAATTGTTGTTTTAACTAGAGATGCACCGATCGATCGACCAGGGATCGGAATCGGCCGATTTTCCTCATGATCGGCCCGGATCAGTGACCGGCGGTCAGTCTCACTTATTTCCGATTCCGACCCAATCCGTTTTGTTACCAGTGGCACAGGCAATAACGTCAGCCGCGCATTCTCGCTTTCTTCTCTCCGACGACCCCTTCTCTCTCACACAAGTCTCATTCGCTCCAGTTAAATAGTGTTTGTATTGCGCATTATTTTAGTCATTCCCGCAGGTTTCGCGCTTGCACCAAAAGCGCGCGCACCACCACTGATCTATATTAGTGTAGCGCACAAGCCACGCTCAGTCTCAAACAGCTTGTGAGCCACAAATACCAAAATGAGTGGCTAACTGCAACAGCACAAATAAATGCAATAGAATAAAGAGAGCTATGAAACTAAGTTTTTCAGGTTAAGTTTTTATTCAGGTAAGAAATACTACAGAAATTAAAGTAATCAAATATAAAATAACACATCCAGTGTTATTTTACATTTGATTACTTTAATTTCTGTAGTATTTCTTACCTGAATAAAAACTTAACCTGAAAAACTTAGTTTCATAGCTCTCTTTATTCTATTGGATTTATTTGTGCTGTTGTTTGCAATTTTTTATTTGTTCTTATTTTATTACTGACTTTTTACTTGTGTTTTTGTAATGAAAATAAAATTTTGCGTTGAAGAAAAGTAGATTTTTGTTTGTATATGCTGTCAATTATAGTTCTTAGAAAGAAAATCGGAATCGACAAAAATCGGTAACGGCAAATCACACTAACAAAAAATTGGAAATCTGAATCAGCCAAGAAAATTGCTATCGGTGCATCTCTAGTTTTAACAATGTATGAGCAGCCACTTAGTACATCACTCGCTTTGAGCCAACAAAACATGCCTTCATATCATGCACTCCATGAGCTTGATGTAGTCTGTTAGATTGCAGTTTGATTTTCAAGATATGGGGGCAAAAAATAAAAATAAATAAATAATGCCCCCTATGTGTTTTTGTCTTATATTTATGTCATATCATACAATTAGGTGACACACATCACACAAGCAAGAGTGCTGTTTTCCCCTGTATATCAACACGACTACAAACGTTATGAAATCGATAAGAAATGTATTGATTAAATGTGCAAATTTGACATAAAATATGATACATACATCTATTACTTAGGGCTGGACGATATGGCCAAAATTGATATCACGATATATTTCTTAATTTCGGTCGATACGATATAATTCCGATATCGATATGAACACTATTTATCTGAAATAGAAATCTTTTGTAACATTATAAATGCCTTTATCATCACTTTTGATCAATTTTAAGCATCCTTGCTAAATAAAAGTATTAATTTCTATAATTTCTTTCCCCCCAAAAATAATAAAATTTATACTGAATGGAATAGTGTATAATGTTACAAAAGCTTTTTATTTCAGATAAATGCTGATCTTTGGATCTTTCTATTCATCAAAGAATCCTGAAAAAAAATTTACTCAACTGTTTTAAATATTGATAATCAGCAAATCAGCATATTATAATGATTTCTGAAGGATCATGTGACACTGAAGACTGGAGTAATGATCATGCTGAAAATACAGCTATGTATGATCACAGGAATAAATTACATTTTAAAATCTATTCAAATAGAAAGCAATTTTAAATAGTAAAAATATTTCAACATTTTACTGTTTTTGCTGTACTTTGGATCAAATAAATGCAGACTTGGTGAGCAGAAGAGAATTCTTAAAAAAAAAATTAAAAAAACATTAAAAATCTTACTGTTCAAAAACTTTTGACTGGTAGTGTAGGCTGATTATTCTTATAGACTGAAACAAATGTGCTTCAGCCAGAAAAAAAGGGTATGAAAAGTGCTC